CAAAATTAGAGATTCAAAACCAGTAGTTGCAACACTTTCAATTGCTCTCATCTTCATCTTGACTTCGCCGGAATCGTGATTCTCAAAGGTAACTCCCACAAACATAAATCTAATACTTTTAAGTTTTATATTATAATGATATCTTGTAGGAGATTAAACTTGATAATGTCTCAAATTTATGTTGAAGCTTTCATAAAAGATTATAATGGGTGACAATCAAAGAGGTATCCCTAAGGCATGTAGATGTGGAGAAGTTGTAGTGATGAAAATGTATAGGACAACTAGAAATCCTGGAATATTGTTTTATGCTTGTTCATGTGGATCGGAAGAGGCATTTTGAATTCTCAAATATGGTAGAATTTGTTATTTTGTTCATTTTGTTTAAATTGTGCTTTGATTTTGTTGATATTGAAACAAAATAAATGGTTTCATTTGTTTAAATGGACTTATGAGTGTATGGTTGAAGAGACTGAAGACTTGATTTACATAGTGAACAACATAGAAGAAGATTCGATTACTTTACAAAAAGCTTTAAGAGCTTGCGAATCGGAGATCGAAACTCTTGAAATGGAGACACACACATGTGAGGTTGTGGTTCAGAAGGAGATTTGGGATTGCAAAATGGAACTTAGTAGCTTAAAGAACATGGTTGTTTGTGAGGTGGTGATATTTCTGTTTTATTTGTTTGTGTTTTGAGTATGAGTAGCTTGTGTAGTATCTTAGGTTGGAGACAAAAAAATTTTTTATGATCATGAATTTATGTTTGTTTGTAATAATAACTTATTAATGATTGGATTATGATCATCTGTTTTTAGAGTTAGTTTTTTATCATGATCTTGATTTAGGAAAACATTACCATTGTTATAAAGTGAACATCCAAAAGGTGCAAACCAAACACAAAAAATCCAAGAACAAACCAGTACACCTTGTTTACAACAACCACAAAACTAGAAGCTATCCATAAACCGATACCGATCTTGTCCCAAATCTAAAGCTAACGAAAGAAACCGATCTTGTCATCAATGCTAAAACTCTTTAAAAATCGATCTTGTCATCACTGCTAAAAAATCAAAGAGATGAACAAAATCAAACTCAAGACAGAATACACAAATTGAATGACACAAACTCAGAGACACCAAAAATCAGACCTCATAGTTGACTCATTGGGTAACTTGATCCTTCACCATCTTGAGTTCTATTTCCGTCTTGCTTTTTCTTGGATTTTCTCTTTGGCCTATTAACCTGGACAACATCTTTTTTTTGCACTTCAATACATTATGCCCAGTCTCACCACAATTTCCATAATGCATAATTCTTCCAACTCTTATCAGTTTTCTTTTCTTGGTCGGAGACTCATG